AGCAGGATGGATACAAAGTGCTCTAGTTTAGAACTAGTTCTGGGAAATTTAAACCAAAAGTTGCTGCACGCTAGAAATATAAGGGTGTGTAGTAACACTAAGTAGGGAAAATACTTGGCAAACCAGTGCAGTCTGTTCTCGTAGCATACGGCATCCACATAGTTGTACTGGTGGCGGTCCAGGTTATACTGAATCCCTTTGGGCTCCACATACAGTGATGCAGATGTGTTGGTGTTGAAGTTCTTCTTGCAGGTGTTGTTGACCACCCACTTGCAGGGTAGGCAGATCATCTTGTCCTGGGTGACCTGCAGGGTCCCCCCAAACACAGAAATCATGAGCATAACAATGGAGATGTAGTCGGTGAATACGTCCCACCATGGTTTCAGGATGCGGTAGGCTGGTTGTGTGTCCACAAAGTACCGCAGTTCCGTGATAGGAATCATGGTTTATCTGTGGAGGAGAAGAATTTTGATTTTTAATAGAGGAGAGGGCGGGGAGGAGTTTTCTGTTACAAATAATAAAAAGGCAGGTGATTCATTGTGATTAGGTTGTTGTGCTGTTATGATGACACAGTTACCAAGAAATTATAGAGAACAAAATGGAATGTAAATTTAATTTAGTGTTGTTATGCACACCCCTGATGCTGATTGTGAAAACATTTCTGGAGACTGCAGAAGCAAAAATAAAATGTGGTTTTGTATATGTGAATAATATTAATAATAATAATTGATGTTATTATTAAATTATCTGTAGAGTTCATACAGATATGGCTTTATATCTCTATATATTCAGTATACAATAAAATATACAGCATTTATATATAAACATAGATGTGTGTCTGTATATACATATATGTACATATATACACATAAGTATGTATTGTATTTGTTTAATTTTACATTAACTGTAATATTAATATCGCCAAACATAAATATCAATGTAAAATACTAAAATGGAATTTCTTCACTAACGTAATGTAACCACACACAGCACCAAACTTTTGTAAAAGTTAGTATGAAAAAAAAACAAAAAACATCTAAACACACATAACATTACATTACATAACATGTGCTTGATATAATATTGTTTTTAATGTTCTAGAAATATAGTTCTACTTACAACTCCACATGTAAAAAATGCAACAGAGCCATACATTAGAAGTTGAGAGGAATTCACAACTTTCTCTGTCAGGAATCTCCATACATCAGAGCCAGATAAAGCCGTCCAATTCAACCACTTGCCCTGAGCAACTGTGACACACCCAGCACGTAAGCTGGAGAAGTCACTGTTCTTCAGATGATGTTCCGTTTTGGCTTAACCCAAACAACAGGACTGCCTGAGGAGCCACCTTGCTCCCCTGCACTCTATTCTTAGCCATTTCCGTTAATAATACCCAGAGTATTGTCTGTGGGGGCCTTCAGAAACACCACCCTTGACCTTCAGGAGGAGATCCTGTTTACCTTACAGACAGTGCTGTCTCCAACCACTGTCTCTCTAGAATGCTCCTGCATCACCTTTTGCACCCTGAGTGTCACCGCCCCAAACACAATAAACATTCACCAGTTAGCACGCATCATGACCAGCTATGAGGAAACTGAAAAAAGCAAGTGCAGACGCCTTGTCTGATTACCTGCCAATGATCACAATCAGACTGGCCTGAGTTCAGAAAGGCACAAAATTGAACACATGCCACTGGAGCACTTCAATTATAATTAAACAACTATAACACTCACCTGTTTTAATGTGTTATCTGTACTGCAGTGCCTGATCTCGTCCCTGGTGGACCAGCCACTCTCTGTGTCTCCAAAACTCTTCACCAACCATTTCCAAAATCTTTTCCATGCAGTTAAGAGGAAACCTGAGAAAATTAGGAGGAGAATACAGTACGTTATTTACCACAAATGAGTAAAGGACATCTAATTACCTCTTAATCCATTGGATATAAAGTATCGATAAAATAAACACAAAACCTATCCCTAAACTGTGTCACTTTACATCCAAGTTAACATGCTAAGCCATTGAGTAGCACAGCATGTCTTTGTCATATGGCTTTCTGTCAGAAATGCAATTCCACTTATAGTTAATGCAACGTTCATATATATATATAATACTTAAAGGCATCAACATAACACGCCATCAACAGCCAGAATAAAAAAAAGGTACGTCTATATTCGAGCTTAAGAGAAGAAGCCTATTTTTAAAAGCGATAGCAATATGGGCTAGGTTGTTGGCCAGAAAGCTAAAGGGTTACATGCTGACCAGTGGAAGTTTATATCATATCTAGCGGTAATGTTTGAAATTTCTAAATCTGTTTAAATAACGCGGGGTTCAACCTACAGCGTTTTGGTAGCACGCGATGGAAATCCAATTATTTTTTCCTCAAAGTCGTAGATAGAGAAATGTGTTTGCTGCTACTCATAGCTAATGTTAGCTGTTGTTTTATGATGCTGCCTTCGCGCGCTATCGGAATTATGGTAAATAGAATTTTCCGATGTCTAGAAAACAGAGATTTTTTGTCATCTACTTAAATTAACATGCGGTAAAATAGCAGTGTGCACCATTGTGTTTCTTGAACCTTACTTCATTAGCTGCCATTGTCATTGTGCATTTTATATTTGATGTTGGTGTTTTGTTATGTAAATGCTTGTGGTTCAAGAGACACCGTTATTGCTTTTTTGTCGCTGCCTCATAAATTGTATTTAGAATTCCAATTAGTCATGTTACTAGTCCACAACCTTTAGGCACAAGGTTTAGCCAGGTTTGTCATCTTAAACCAATGCGACTCTGTGTTTTATTTTTACTATATTTATTTACTGTTTAACTAATAAAAACACTACAGTCGTAGGTCTGGCTACGGCATCGTTCTCCCGAGCAGCACGTGAAGGCAGCATGAGTCCTCCGCGGCTGGTGACAGGCTGCAGTAGTAAAACACACGAAGAAAAACCCAGTCGTCTCCGCCTCGTTCTTCTTCGACTGTGTAGGGACTATACAGAGGTGTGGGCGTTTTAACTGAAAGATCCAATGTTTTAGTGTTGCTTTAAGCTATATATTATTTATTTATTATATATATTTATTTCAGAAATGCTAGCCGTGAACTCTTTACGTGTCGTTAGCTCGACACGGCCACTCCTGCTGCTCAGGAACCGTATGTGTGTTTCTAAAGTCTGTTTGTCAACTAGCTTCCCCACTAAGGACACATGGCACTGTAATAGGAACAGCAGACCACTGCTGAAGGACACTAGACTGACTTACAACATTAATCAGTCCAAAACACACAGGGATTACTGTACAAGTCTGGCCAGACTGAGCTGTTGGAACTGTAAACAGCCTCTTGACAAAACACCTGCTTTCTTCTGTGTGTCCTGCAAAGTAGTACAGCCCCCCGAGGAAGACGTATCGTACTTTAAGATCATGGCCTGGTGAGTATCCAGTACTTTGAACAAGTGTGAGCATCTTCTCCAGTAGGAATCTGACGTGATCATGTGCTACTTCTTTTAAGTGACTACACTTTTACACTGGACACACAACAGTTGCAGAAGAAATACCTGGAGCTCCAGAGGTTGCTACACCCAGACAACTTCACTCAGAAATCTGCGGTAGGCATGGGATGTAAACTATATTTTAAAAGAAAAGTGAGTCAGCAGAGACTGTACTGTCTATTAGCGGGAGATGGGGCCTAGTGCTGATGTATGGTCGAGGTGCAATAGGTGGCAAAAGTAACTAGTGTGACCCTGTGTCCTTGTTATACAATATGACGGTGCATTTCTTAAGAGTGTTCCACTGTGAAGGCCGGGAGGACTAATTAAAGAAATTTTGACTCAGATATTTATATTTAGAACATTATTGATTGATGGTATTTAGAAAACACACAAGTTTCCCCTTCAGAATTCAATTTCCAGAAAAGTTGATACATTTTCAAAAATGCATAAATGTTTTCTATTGTTAAAGTTACCGTATTCTTAAAAAAAATATATATAGAAGAGGATCCTGAGGATAATCCTTGTTGATTAATTGGGATCATACTTAATGGCTCCTGCTATGGCAGCCTGTCTACTTTGAAAGACACATTCTCTGAATTTTCCCATTTTTTCTTTCTTCAATTCCTGAGAGTATATGAGTGTTGTGTTTAACTAAACTGATCAAAGTTTCCCACTAAGTGAGTCAATTACGATAAATTGAAACCAGAATATCATTATATCTTGTAACATTTTTGTGATTTTACTAATGTAAAATATATGGCGTGGCTGAAAGAAAAGTTTGTGAAAGGCTGTATTTAGACTTACATTTCAAGTAACTATTTTGACATTTTAGCACGATATATGTACCTACACAATCGTCAGGTTGAAATACAGAGTAAGACGACACACGCTTTCTGTCGTCCGCCTGTGGTTTCTCTTTATTTTCTTATTTTCTATTTTCTTTCTTCACACTCCTTTTCATGCACAAAAAATTGCCTGGCTCCAGATGGAATTGAGCCCATGGGGGTTACGCTGTGTTTAATCTGCCTCCTAAGTATATGGACGTTTGTGTTAATACTGAGTTGAATGCATGCCAGTTGCATAATGGGAAAGCGAGCAGAAAAAACAGGTGTGGGCTGTTTAACATCACTTTATGGGAAATTCGCCCCTTAATAAGACCAAACACACACAACCACACACTGACTAGACACTGAGGCAGGTACAGCTTGAAAACAGACACAAGGATCAAAATATTGTCATTAAAAAGAGTAAAATCACATAATTAATGCTGTTAGGCAAAAGGCCAAATGTGCTGATGGGAAAAATTCTGACTTCAGGGAGCAATCTTTCTTTAGGGGTTAGGGAGCTTTGGGTTATGTGCCGCTCCCTTCCGTGTACGAATTACTGCAAAGTCTCTATAGTTAAATGCTTTTATTTTTTCTCCTCTGAATAAATGATACTTTTAACAGTCAATTTTAGTGCTTCATTCAGTCAGGGCTTAGTTAGTCAGTCTAATCAAACACTGGCTCGAGGGCCACATGTTGCCCAGATACAACCTTGGAGTAGCCCAGAAACTTTTTTTAGTACTTTAAGCAAATGCAGAGAATCTGAACTTCCATACTGAGATATTGTAAGGGTGTTCTGCAGGGGGCCCCATCAATTTCGGCTTGGGAGCTACTATTCAGATCAGACTGAAGCAGTGGTTCTTGTCCCTTGGGGACAGAAATGTTCACACTGAAAACATTAAAAATATATTTACTCATATAAACTTATATAAACATACTTTATATAGGCATTGTACAGTATGTTGGGGTACTGATTAATTCATATAACTGTATCTCATAATGTGATTTAATAATTACATTATATATAGTAATTAATTATATCAGTATTTCAATGTGTTTAATATTTGCTCATAATTGATGTTGAGCTACCTATTGGACACTTCTGGTGTACTTAATGACTTCAGGCAACCTCATATGGAATTATATCTGAACTCAGAGTCAGCTGAGTGAGAGTGACTCACAATTGGTTTTTCTTCTCACACAATCTCTCCGAAATTGTACTGACTGTTTTATTTATCAGCACCTCTGGCCTTTTTCTCTTAATTAGACATCACCCAACCCCAGGGGTCCACATCGTATATAGAAAACTCATTACTTATACAAGGCTACAAGGCAGCCTCCGACTGTACGGTTGTTATTACAGGAACGGCTGTACATGATGGGCCATAGCTTGAGACTATTGATTTTCACCAGAGCTGACAGAGCTGATCGCTGTGAAATGGTACTCGGATCTGTCGAGCAATTCCAAGATATTTTACCTGCAGACTCACATCTGTTGTATCACTCTTACACCTGCAACCCTCTGGGGATGCCCCTCCCCCACCCGCGTCCCTCCATTACTACCGAGCAGCTGTACACCATGCACATAATTGACGGCATCATGAAGGATTCCGTGTTTGGGAAACTGACAAATTAGATTGTCAGGATGTGAAGGTGTTGTCTGGGCTTTAATTGAATCTTGGTGACGTGTCCTTCTTTCTATTGTGAATATTTGGTGCTTTTTCTTTTCCCTGTTGTAGAGCATGAATATGGACTGAATCTGCTGTACACTCCAAACTTGACAGAGTTGTCTTTTTGCAGCAGGAGCAGGAGTTCTCCGAAAGCCAGTCGGCTCTGGTGAACAAAGCGTACACGACTTTGCTCAAGCCCTTGAGTCGCGGCCTTTACATGGTAGGTGTGAAGAACCTCCGTCGGTGCTTCTAATGAACAGTTCATTTCCATAACTGCTCGCTGACACTGTCTGATCCGTTAGCTGGAGCTCGAAGGGATGCGTATAGAGGAGGGCACCGACCCCGGGGCTGACTCTGCATTCCTAATGGAGCTGATGGAGATCAATGAGAGTCTCGATGAAGCACAGACTCCAGAGGAGGCCAACAAGATTGGCCAGACCACGAGAGGTAAATACTTATGTCTGATCAGTTCAGTTAATCTTAATCTGGTGGATGGACGTTAGTTAGGTGGTTGGACCGGATTTGAACAAATGCCTGAGAAAAAGTTGGGCTGATGGGTTCTAAACATGCACAAGCATATGACACTGGGCCCCTATGTACAGTATATGTTGATATACTTTTCTAATATTTTTTTGCGCCCCTATCGGTCAGGGGCCCTTGTAATTGTCTTATCTCCTACCCCCATTGAAATTAAAACAAACACAAACAACTGACATGGGTCACGAAGGTTTGGGACTTTTAAAATATGGGTCCCCAGAAAAAAAGATCGGAAAACACTGTTTAAGACTATACTATTTCAGTACACCGTTGGTTCTCAAAGTGGGGGGCGGGACCCCTAGGTGGCGCACATCTATTGTGGACATGATACAAGGCAAATTATTTTGTATGATTTATTTATTATCTTATTCAACAGGAATAATAGTCTATAGAAAAAGTTTGGGAACTGCTGCCAAAGGTGGTCAGTTCAGAGTTTGCATGTTCTTCCCATGTGGTTTCTCCAGATGCTCCAATTTCCTCCCACTGTCCAAAACGTACCTGCTTTGGGTTAATGGTTCACTCTAAATTGACCATAGTTGTGAATGTGAGTTTGAATGGTTCTCTTTATGACAGAGGTGTTCACAAGTTTTTTTTTAAGTCCACAAGCGCAGGTCAAGTTTTATGTCTCTTCAGAGTGTCGGATTGGGCAGTTGTCAGATTCGGCAATTGTCAGATCGGGCAATTGTCAGATTGGGCAGTTGTCAGATTGCCCACCTGCAGCTAGCTATGCAGCTACTAATGCTGCACAGCTAGCTACGGGTGCGCAGGTCGCCATCGTGTTGCCATCATCTGTGGTGCACACAGCGTAATATGGTTTCCATGGTTACAGGACAAAAAAAAAAGAAGGCAATCGTCAGACATTTCAAACTTTCCTCAATATCTATATGCCAAAATAAGAAAACATAAAGATTGTTCACGAGTCCCGAAATCACAGTCCTAGAAGTCTCGTAGTGTCCTAGAAGTGCGTGCGACTCAAGTCTGAGTCACAAACCCGAGTTCCCATCTCTGCTATATGAGACCCTGTGAGGGACTGTTGTACTGACCATCAGATTGTAGTTCTGCCAACCCTCCCATCCCCCCCGAAAAACCCCTCCACCATGAGAAGCACCTAGCACCAGTATCTTTTTCCGTCTTCAGTACATTTCACTGCAATCAAGACGTTGAACAATGTTTTTTCCCCTCTTCTGTTGTTTGTTTCACTTCACTTCAAGTCCTCACTCTCAAAAGCTGAGAGAGAGCTTTTAAATCCTCAGAACAAAGACAGGTCGGCTGCCATGTCTCATTAACAGATGGTGATCCGATCTCCTTCTGTCTTACAGGAAAACTAGCCGACCTGACGGAGCAAATAGATGCTGCCCTCCGTAAAGGTATTCCGTGGCACTGAAAAAGAAAAAAAACGTGTTCCTCCCACTCGTTCATTTGTGCTGAAGCTAACCTGAGTGGTTTGAATTTCATTTTGCATTTCTTTTCTTTCTTTTTTCCCCTCTCTCTCTCTGGTCAGGCGACCTTCAGACTGCACTGGCACTTCTCACCCAAATGAAATACCACGCAAATATCGAGGAAAAAGTCAAGGAAAAACTATGTCAATTCATGTAATCTTTTTTGCTTAATGTCTTATTTGTTTTACCCTTTTCTACAAATATTATTATTATTATTATTTTATTCATAGTGTACAGTGTTGTTTGAATAATAATGTAGGACTAAATTTTATTGTTTATTATATTTTTTATATATACACTATATACGTGCTTTGTTTGTGACTGTGGCCTCAGTCCAATAACATTCATTTATTCCCAAAGTCATTAAACAAAAAGATCTGTTTGAGCCACTGATTAAAACACTGCACTGAATGTGCTGTGATCGTCCCCGCCCATCAGTCACGCTCACATGCAGCTGCTGGCTCTGTCGCACCGGTTCCTAAGGATACCTTTAGGGGGAGACGTAACACCTTGACAATCATCATTCAGTGGAGTGAGGAGCTCTGTGTTGCACAAACAGGATGTCAGAGCAAAACAAATAGAAGTACTCATCTGAGGCAGACCACTAATCGACTTATCAATCACATTTAGAGCTAACGCTTTAATAATCAGGCAGACGATCACTGACTGGTGATCACCGGGTGTTAACCTCGCGCACCTTTTGCCTGCAGCGTTATCACCGTACGTCACTCATCCGCCTTCAGCGACCTGGTCGTGAAAGAATTGCGATCATTTGAAATTACCTGGCAAATTGAAATCGTATCGATGTTGTTGACAACGTCGATGTCTTTGCTGTAATTGAAATGTAAAAGGTGAAAGGCTGGGGTTCATAATGTTCCATAGCACAATACGAGACAATGTTTTATATGTATATGGAATTTGAATTTGTGTTTGAAATGTTACAGACGCAGAACAACCGGGGATACTGTCAGTGGCTACGCTTTAAGCAAGTAATACTATATTTAAAATATAAATTATTCTTTCTTTTATTAAGTCCGTCTTCACCATATAAGTACAGTAAATATTAATGCTAACAGTTTTTTAGTCGTACTACGCTATTTCCTAATGCCGTACCTTATATTACGAATTTACACACAAGTGAGTACTAAAATAACCAAATACTGCTTGTACTCCAGTGCGGCTTATACTCCGTCAATGTAGCTGAGCTCAAACTCGAAGCTCTGGATTCTTACTTAAAATTATATATATTAAAAGTTCTCTATATCTCTAGTAATTGGTGTGGTATCACTGTCACCTGCTGGATCGAATTGCAAGAAAAACTATTCCTGAAATATTCTGCACCCAGAATCATTACAAACACAAAACTAATTTTTAAAAGTAAGGTTGTCATATGTAATTTAAAAATAAAATATATACTACAGACAGGGTTGTTGTGGTTGATTTTATGGGAAGTTACGACATATTTGACTTTTTAAATTTGGCAGTACATTAGTAAATATTTGTGTACCTTTCTACAAACAAGCTCCATTGAAACATCCCCGTGTGATAACCGTTCTGAAGGTTTGTTTTTCAGATCTCTGCTCTGGAGCAACAATGTCATGTGTCTGAAGTTGTTTGTTGTTGTTGTTCTACCACACACCATCAGCCTCCTTAATACACACCAACATTTACAGTGAGCAGAACAGTGCACTCCCACCAGAGCCCTATTTATTATTCATGTAGTAATCGGGAGGAAGGCATCTTTGCTGCGCCTTTAAATTTATTGAAAATGTGATCAACCGGCACAGAGACTGCCGCTGTCTCACTGAACTCTTTGAAATTGAGTTTGAAAGAGATGAAAAGGAAGAAGAAGAAAAAATCTCTCCACACCCGGGCTGTGAAATTGACTTGGATGGAAAAGCTTGGCGAAATGAAGTAGTAGCATGGGACTACTGCAGAGCTTATGGGATGAGTCAGGTCAGTGTGGTACTGTGTGTTAATTTAGACATTCTGTGAAGCTACTTATTGTTCCGTAGAGAGAAGGAGAGAGAGGGAAAAAAAGTTTTGTTATTTCTGTACAAAAAATGGACAGAAAAATCCTGAAAATCTGGTCTCAGATTTGTTTTTCAGAGTTTGATGAAACTGTTGAATTAAGCCCATGACCTATTTTTATTTACCACAAAAATAGACATAGCTAAGTATTTAATGAAAAAAAAGTGAATGTTTTGGTCATTTTTGAGAAACCTTTATTTTTGTAGACTTTTTTTAGGAACTTATTAGTACAGGATTTTACTGTGATCAAAAGTTGGCGTACCAAAAAAGTACATTTTTTTCTGAATTTTAAACACAAAAATGGACAGAGTATTTTGAGGAAAATTAGGGCATTTTTAGTCATTTTTGAGAAACTTTTATTTTTGTAGACTTTTTTCAGAAAATTATATATAATAGAGCCACGTGTCTCGTGTAGACATGGCACGAAGCAGGCAGGACCAAAATGCAGTACCAGAGAGACTCTTTACAGGTGCAGCAGGTTTATTCATACAAAGACAAAAACAAGACATCACAAGACTAGGAACAAGGCCTAAGCCAGATGACACACATACATGTACACCTTTGCCAATGAGAGGTCTAGTAAGCTAAGGTTACTTAGACTCACTTAAGCTGAACTCTGTGATCCTCATCCTCCTGCTCAGCTCTTGTGACTCAGAGGAGTATTAACCCCATCATCCCACAGACACCTCCAATCAACTGCTTCTCATCGCTGCCGCTTCATCCCCTCACCAAGAAATGTTATTTACTGACCAAACATCTGCTGCACTTTCATCTCCTCTCCAACCACTTACTTTACATTCATTCATATCAAGCACAAGTACATCTGTATTATTTTAACAAAGTTTGGTATTACTACAAATTCAAATAATGTATTACAATAATGATAATACAAATTTCAAAATAATTCATCCCTCCGTCCATTTTCATCCGCTTATCTGATACCAGGTCGCGGAGACAGCACTCTCCACGACCGCCATCCAAATCACACTGCACCGTACCAACCCCCCTGAACCTTCCTGTGGTTGGTGAGTCCACTGGAAGGTACCAACCGACCTAACCGGGATTCGATCTAGCCCAGGAGGTGGACCCTGGGGTTCAACACCAATGACAGAGACATTGCCTCTGGGCCAAAGCGCCACATTACAAAATACTAATAATAATAATAATTGTTGTTGTTGTTATTATTATCAATTATTAATTATTATTATTATTAGCATTGTTAGCATCTCACAGTGACACCTCACCTGTCACTCAAAAGTTCAAAAAAGCAAACAATAAACCAGTTACAGAGCCACAAAGGCATTAGGTTTAACTGGGAGTTCCAACCTCTGGTTTTATATAATTTTGTACAGTTTTGTGTTGTTTGAACATACAGTAGAACTATTTAAATATTTATACCGTTAGAACAGTCAGGGCTAACTTAACATTTGCAAAACTTGAGCGTGAACTCTAGTTTTATTCACTTATTTGATTGAATGTTTGTTTTCTCTGATTACGTAAACCTATTTAAGGCTGTTTTTCTTTGTCGAACCCTGTCATATGGCTATCCGTTGGTATTGTAGTGAGTTGGGGGCTGGGAGCCACCTGCTGTAAAACGAATGAAATGATTAATTCAAGATTCGTTCACGACTCGTTCATTTTACTGTTCGAGAGTCAAAGATTCGAAACAATAAAAAGAGTCGGGCTTCCCGTCACTAGAAAATCGACTATTTTTATTGATGAACGAATTCGTTCACAGCGAAAGATTAGTCTAAGGCGAAAGATTAGTTCACGGCGAAAGATTCGTTCAGAGAGAATGAATCGTTCACAGCGAAGGATTCGTTCATAGAGAATGATTCGTTCACAGCGAAAGATTCGTTCATAGAGAATGATTCGTTCACAGCGAAAGATTAGTTCACGGTGAAAGATTCGTTCAGAGAGAATGAATCGTTCACAGCGAAGGATTCGTTCATAGAGAATGATTCGTTCACAGCGAAAGATTCGTTCATAGAGAATGATTCGTTCACAGCGAAAGATTAGTTCGCTGTGAGTGATTAGTTCGCAGGTGTAATTTGAGAGTGATTCGTGAGTTCAATATGAACAAATCTTTCATATGACTCGGGAGTCACGAGTCATATGAAAGATTCGTTCATTTCACAAACATGTCCTTCAACGGTCTGTCTAATATGTCACATTAACGCGTGGAAGTTCCCACCGACCAGCGCCGTAAAAGGCACAAGGTGTAGCTACAGTACCATTCCGCACCGAAGGGGGGAGACGCGCAGCAGGTGCTTGTTGCTGCTGCTTTTCTATTCAGAGGTCCGAGAAGCCATTAATTTACGACATCGGGACGTCATGGGTTCGTCACCTGTTTATATTATTTTTTCTAAAGAATCCATATTGATTAGGAAAGTAATAAATATGAAAATATAATTAATGCGAACTGAGGCGCAGAGAAAAACTAAATTAAATGGATTACCGTGCCAAGAAAGCAGAAATATAAGCATGGACTTCTTTTACAGATAAAGGTAAGACTAAAAACGCTTTTCAGTTCAGCTAGTAAAAACGATGCTAACTTTAAAACCAATTACACACGATTTTTAAACTGTTGTTGAACTGTCTGTATATAAAATAAATATTAAGAGCCTTTTCTTTACTCAGACCACACTGATTTATAATTTTATTTTCACTGTCAGTGACAACATCACACATACGGTGATTATTAAAGTTGGAAACCAGAAGTTAGTTTGGTAAATTTGATTCTGAAGGAGTCTCAGAAGTGTCTCACCATCGGTGAAACTGTATGCAATATGTAATGACTTGTCTTCAGTTCATTTTTGCGCACTAGCCGTCCATCCTTCATGCTAATCTAACCACTTAAGAGTATTGAGATATTTGAAATAAAGATCATCACCACCTAATAGCTGATGGCGTGAACAAAACTACCATCAGGTGGAAAACCTGTTTTCAGAAAGTGCAAATTAAAAACCCCTCAAGGTGGTTGCTGCTCTGTGTAACAGAGGTATCGCAACCAATCATTTGTTTACATGTGTGAAATTGTTGTTTACAGAGTTATATGTGTTTTGGGTGTCCACAGCTAATTGAGATGCACAGAGTATATGCTGGTTGTTTATATTACACTAGGTTTCCTCTGCTGCAGTACCTGGGAGTACAGCAGAGGGCGTTTCGAAAGAGTTGAGAGATTAGCTAGCCAGTGTTTCACTGTCATGAGCTTGCTTAGTGTTCTTTAATTTAAATAGCAGTGTCTGATTTAAGCATTTATATAATTAATTGTGTTAAGTAATTGAAATATGAAAAACTATTTTGAAAGAGTCGAATTTTCCTTGCGGAAAAGTAGATTTAAAAGGTATAAACATTCTCGTTAGCGACTGTATTGCATCATTAACAGAAATTTGCGTCACAAGGAAAAACAACTACCTCTGTTTCGCTCTGCACTCATCTAACCAAGCCTGATTTGGGTTCCTCACGTGGACGGCGTCTTCATTAGGCTACAGATGCAGTTTCTCAAACGGCCTGGATTAGTTTGTGTTCTCTCTTTTTAAGTAAAAGTCCAAATCAATACGCACTTTGAAAATTAAACCACTTTCTTCTCTGCTGCACAATGGAGAATTCCCAGAGGCCGGCGCCTCACTGTGGCTGGCGAAGCGTTCCTCTAAGTTCTTGATTTTAGCCCAGCTGGGAGACTTCTTGGGTGAATTCTCTGCTCTCCTCAGCGATTCGGGTCTGTGAATGTAGACGCGCCATGTTGTCGTGTTTGAGCACGTACTGCAGTACACGGGGAGCAAAATCAAAAGACATTGTGTATCGGTAACCCCGCCCAACCCCCTTTGGTGACTGACCAGTTCTTTAAAATAGGGATTGTTATGTAATCCCCTCATCTGATTTGTTTCTCCTCTATGTAATTGTGGTTTTGGACTGGCACAGTGAATTGATCGGTGCTTTTGTTGTTTTATGATTTGCCCTGCACCAAGTACATTACTGTGTAAATAGATGCCATTTATTTTTATACTTTCCTAAAAAAAATATTTTGGAGGTAATGAATAAAAAATGAATTGAGCCCTTAGGTCATTACAGTAAATGCTGCGCCACAAGTCAATAATATATAAAATAAAATACACAATACAAAAGCTCAGGAAAAATAATATATATTAACTAGGGCAGCAGTTCTCAAACTGTGGTACGTGTACCTCTCTACATCTTTATAAACATTTATAAACATCTCTCCTGTGTCGTAAAAGCTAACAGTGAAGGCCTATGCTGCTATATGCTATTGTTGGTCATCATGGTGTTACTCAGAGAGCTCAATGTTTTCTCAGGTGGTACAGAGTACAAAAAGTTGGAGAACCACGATCCATAAACA